TACCTTAGAACATTACTGTGAGGCCTCAAGGGGTATATACCAAGAACCAATATTTGTTCAGCATTTGCCTTGTGCCAGGCCTTTGCAATGCCCTTAATACACAGCACTTCACTGGAGCCTCACAGCAACCCCCAGGGCGGGCACCATGATTATCCCCATTTTACAGATGAGGAGGTGGAGGCTCGGAGGGATACATTGCTAAGCTTCACTAGTGAGTGCTACCGGTGAGTGGCAGGGCCATTTGCTTCCCAAGTCGTGTGTTGACTTACCTCACTGTGCTCCCTCTCTAATCTCACAAACTTTCATGTGAGGCTGATTTGTGGTGAAAAATTAAGAGTGACAGCCTTTTGGTCTCTTTGTTCCTGCTGCTCTAGTCCCCTCAGCCCCCAGCCCTGCCCCCTCTCAGAACTCTGCCACAGAATGCTGGCCCCAGAACAACAATGGGCTTAAGATGGGGTGGGTGGAGAAGACAGGAGGGACACAGGGTTGGCTGTCACTGAGGCAAAGGCCCCTGAGTAGTGGGGGGAGAGGCTGTGTCAGGAGGGGCCGTCGGGAGGACAGATGGTCTGGGCTTTGTCACTTGCTAATTTGGGTTTCTGTACTTCCTAAACCAAGCCAGGGCAGCCAGTGCTGACAGGTGCCAGCCTCTGAGGTGATGCGCCCTGACTGCACAACCCACGGCCTTACAAGGCTTAGCTCCTCCGGCCAGACACTTCCTTCCCTTGCCCTGTGGCCTCCCCAGCCCTGGGAGGAGAAAGGGTGACACTGGAAGCCAGTGGCACTAGAGGCTGGAAACCCCTCCAGGCCTTCTCCTCTCACTGATACCCATCCTGAGTCCTTCTTCTCTCACTGACACCCATCCTGAGTCCCTCTTTCCTAGACTTGCCCCTTCCTCCAGCCATCTAGCCAGCTCTGGTTCTCAGTCTTTCTCTTGGCAATTTTTCCATACATTTCCAGTGAGCAGAGCAGTCACAGAAGATCTGAGAGGATACTGACCACAGAGGCCATTCTCCTGAGGCCTGGATTCTGGTTAAGACTGCTTCGGTTTCTTGCTGAACTTTAAAAGAGCCTAAGGGGAACAGACATGGTGGGTCATGCCTGTAATTCCCAGCACTCTGGGAGGCCAAGGCAGGAGGATTGCTTGTGCCCAGGTGTTTGAGACCAACCTGGGAAATATAGGGAGACCACACTTCTATTAAAAATTCAAAAATCTTTTTAAAAAAGAGGCCAAGGGAAAGCCATCAGCCTTGTCCTAAGGAAGGGGACCCCTTGGAAGCCAAGCTCAGCCTTAGGCACCTGTATACCCTCAACCCACTTTGCAAATGAGGAAGCCAAGGTTCAGAGGGCGCTGCACAGCTGGGTCAATTCTGCAGTGAACCTAAATTCAGATTAGTGTCTAGAGCCTGCAATAAGGTGAGGGCCATTGCCAGGAGGGGAAACTCTTGTGGTCTAGAGTAGGGCTTGGAGATGAAGCTGGATTAGGAATTAGAACAAGATCAGTTTTAGCATTTTGCATGCTGTGTGCAAAATGGATTGAGAGGGCAAGTGGCCACCTGGATAAACCAAGCAAAACAGTAGACAGCAAGAAGGCGAAGGTTCTAGTAGGTTAGGGATAAAGACAGGGACAGGGATTATATTGCGGTTAAAGGAGGGTTAGTGTCAGGGTTAGAACTGGGTTAAAGTTAAGGTTAGGGACGTATCTTTGCATTGTGGGCAGCGTGACAGACTTGGGAGAACTGACCCCTCACCCTGCGGCCTCTCCTCTCAGGGCCTGGGTTTCCTCACAGTCACACCCATGGAACTGGGCAGTCTTCCTGCTCCGGCATCCTTTGATGCTCTCAGCAACAACAGAGCTGGCTTTCCGGAAGTCCAGGCCCTGGTAGTGCTGGATTCTGACCTGCTCGGTCTCAGGGATGGCTTGCTTTGAAACCTGGACTGGTTCATCTCACTGACCCTCCTAGGCTCACCATTTTCCTGGCTGGACTGTGAAGTCCAGGGCCCAGCAAGGCACTGGAGAACGTATTAGTTTCCCACTGCTGCTGTGACAAGCCAGTACACACAGTGATTTAAAATAACCCAAATGTATTATCTTACAGGTCTGGAGGGTAGAAGTCAGAAGTGTCTCCCTGGGCTGCAAGGCAAGGGGATGGGAGGTCTGTTGCCCCCTGCAGGCTCTAGGGGAGAAGCCGTGCTGAGGCCTTTTCTGGCTTCTAGAGACTGCCTGCATTCCTTGGCTCGTGGCCTCCTTCCACGGTCAAGGCTAGCAGCATGGCATCTTTTCTGACCTCTGCTTCCTTCATCACATTTCCTTCTATCAGCCCTGCTCCTCATGCCTCACTCAGCTGAGAAGGACACTTGTGATTAGATTGGGTTCACCAAGATAATCCAGGATAATCTCGTGTCTTAATGTAATCACATCTGCAAAATCTCTTTGCCATGTAAGGGAACAGATTCACATTCGCATTAGGGCATGGGCACCTATGGGGCTATTATTCAGCCTAGCACAAAGGGTGCGGCCTGGGGCTCTCCAGAGCCAGGAGCACTGTTTCTGGCTCTGCATCTGGGAAGGGTCCTCCCTGAGCAGTCAGCATCTGGGTCAGACAGAGCCTCATAGCTTTGGACAGCTGTGCCTGCCCTGCAGGGAGAATGGGAAGCCTGGCCCTGGGCTGCTGTGCACTGAGAAGGGGGGAGATTTTCTGTAGGCAAGGAGGGAGGAGACAGGCTGTGGAGGCGCACTTGGCTGGGGCAGCGAGTGGGTCACAGGGCTGAGACCTCCAGTGGTGGCCCCTCAACTGGGTGTGGGCGGCCTGGATCATTGGGGCCTGCTCTGCGCCCACTCTATATATGAAGGTAGATGGGGTCAGGGGCAAGCGCAGCAGGGCATGAGTCTTGCTTCTGAAGTCCACCTTTGAGTGACAGCAGGAGAGAGACCTAGAAAAGTCAGTGTGTGAACTGGGGCCAAAGATCAGGGTGGATCTGAGGGAGTGAGCTGGAGGCTGGATTCCACACAGTGTGCAGGGACGGCAGGGAATTGGGACACTGAAGTGAGGGGCCCTGTCTGCATGCTGCCCAGCAAGTGTGAGGATGCATTACTCTGAGTCTGAGATTCCCCGTGGTTCCTGCCCAGGGAGGCCCCGGCTATGCTGTGTTTGCCACGTCTTGCTGTGGACATCTGGCCGCCTACTTTCTTGGCTTGTGTTCACCCTGCTTTGCTCTTCTATTGTTGACCTGTCCTCTTTATTTTTCCTTTTCAAAAAGCAGGATAATTCAGGCAGAGAATTTATTTTCTGAGAATATCAAGGCCTTTTATTGTATAGGCCAGTCACCGTGGCTCACACCTGTAATCCCAGCACTGTGGGAGGCTGAGGCAGGTGGGTCACTCAAGGCCAGGAGTTCGAGACCAGCCTGGCCAATATGGAGAAACCCCATCTCTACTAAAAATACAGAAAATAACCAGGCATGGTGGTGCACCTGTAATCCCAGCTATTCAGGAGGGTGAGGCAGGAGAATCACTTGAACCCAGGAGGTGGAGGTTTCAGTGAGCCGAGGTCATGCTACTGCACTCCAGCCTGAGTAACAGAGTGAGACTCTGTCTCAATAAATAAATAAAAGGAAAGTTATTGTACACATCATAATAAGCCAAGGCAATAAACTCCGGGAGGCTCATCCCCCAAGCCCCTAACTTCTTCCTCCCTCCAGCTGCTCCTTTTGGCTACAGCCCACCTTCATTACCATCCCAGCCTCTCTACCTGGAATCCTGTGCCCCCAACTCCCCTGCCTCCCCAGACCCTGTTCTTTCTCCCTGGCAGCCTGCTCGCACAGAGGCTTCTCAAAGGTGACCTGACCAGAACAGACTTAGAGCAAGCTCTATTAGGCAGCAGAATGTTGGTGTACAGAGGACAGGGCCTTTACCTCTGTGGGCATGGGGGCATGTCTCCTTAGGACACCCCTGCCCATTACTCTCCCTCTCCAAATGGGGAGCATGGCTGGGGCTCCCTAACCTCCTGCTGCTTGCGAAGCCTCTCTCTGGCATCTGAGAGGGGTCAGTGTCCTGCGTCAGCCCATGAGATGACAGACTATAATAGCCACAGGATTAACATAGCAGGCATTGTCTTTCTCTGACTATAGGGTGGGTATTATGTGTTCATCAACCGTCCTAAAAATACCCAGTAAACAGGTGCAGCCCCTGCGGCACCAGTCTCCTGGGATCTGTTGGCATCTGGCTGGAGATGAAGATTAGGGCAGGGGAGAGATGAATTACTCTCACTGGGTTCCAGGCATGGTACTCGGGTGTCTCCTGATTTCAGGAAACCCACCTGGAGGGGGATGCAGTGTCTGCAGACCCTAGGACCTCCCTGAGCGTAAAGTTGTGCCTTGCTGCCGCTGCTGTTCTGTTCAGCCCCGGAAACTCTCGCTGGGTTCAGCCTGCAATGCTGCTCACATCACTCCCCCACACAGCCAGCACCCTCCTATCCCACGTGCACCAGGGAGCCACCGAAAAATCCCTGAAAGCTGAGTCTTCTGCCCTCTCCAATTTTGGAGCATGGGTTCGGAGGCCTCATTTCCATATTTCCTTGTAAGAGATGCGGGGTTAGCCCAAAAGTCCTCTTCCCCCAGCCACTACTGGCCCCTCTGGGCCTTTGCCGTGACCCCTGGCTTTCCCTTATTCCCCCTCCGTGTCTCGTCTCTGTTCAGTCCCCACACCTGGTCTGGCTGTTTAGTTTCTCCCTTCCTGCGGCTTGAGCCTCCCTAGGCGGGTGCTGGTTTCACTCGGTGGCACCTATGTGCGTGTGCTCCGGAGTCACAAACTCACGTGACTCTAGGCCTGTGTGCCTGTGTGTGCATTGCAGCACGCATCTGCCCTATGAGGGGTGTGTGTGGTGGGAGGGGTGGGAGGGAGGAGGGGCAGCAGGAGGGGGCAGTGGGTCTGTTCTATTTTTACCGGCCAGTTGCTGCTGGCCACAGTTTTCATAGCCTCCCCTTGGCTCTGCCCCTCACAGTCTGCAGTCTACGGCGAGGCACAGGCCAGTCCCGCTCCACAAGGACTGAACGAGGTAAGCGTCCACAGCCCAGGACCTCAGATCTAGGTTCATCCCAGGCAGAGACCCTGGGGCTTTTGTTTAAGGAGAAAGCAAGGAAACTGTTTCTTGCCTGTACAGTGTTTTGCTGGTAGAACATTCCTAAAAGACTCCCACGGCGTTTTGTCCCACAGAATGGCATCTCTTCTGCAAAACTGTAGTGAGAGGCGAAAGCTTTTCCTGGCTATTAGGAGGCTGGGAGCAAGGAGCAGAATCTTCCTCCAGGTTCCTTAGGAGCCCCAGGGCAGAGCCTAAGGGATGGTGCTTTCACACGAGATGCCCAGCAGGGTGTGGGAGGGAGAAGCACCCAGGGGAAGGGGTGGCCCTGGGATCTGGGAGCCAGAGCAGAGGGGCTACAATTGCAAGCTTAGGCAGAGCCGGGTGAGCGTTCCAAGTCAGCAATGCCTGCAGCAGGAGAGAAGGAGGGTGCGGGCGCAGGACTCCCAGGGAGCCTAGAAGGCAGGGCCAGAGCCCTCTGCCGACCAAGGAAACCATGTTGCTTCTGTGTTCTTTGTCTTTGAGGGATGCTGTCTCCTCCCTTTGCCCATCCCTCTGTACTACAGCACAACAGCAGGGGGCGGGGGCGGGGGCAGACCAGCAACCCCTCTTGACTGCTCCTGCTCAGCGCTCCTGGCTCTGAGGAGCCGCAGTAGGTATTGGGGGTCCTCTTGGAGGAAGGCAATGGTGGCAGCATTTTGGTTTGGGGCACAAGAGCCAGTGAACACATAAGCCAGGGCAGCATCTACAGGGCAACCCAGGGCTTGGGACAGGGCGCTGTGTGGTTGGCCCGGACTCGGGTGGGGGCTGAAGGCAGCATCTGCCACCGGCTCTGGGAGTCATAGTCCCACAGCAGCTCTGAGATTAGGCTTTGCTGTTCAGAGCTCAAGATGGGGTTGTGGTGTGTGGTAGGAAACCCAGAGCCATGGGCTTGGGAGTGTGGCCTGTTAAATAACCATCAGTTAAGGAGGACAGGGATGCCCTTGAATGGGGGTCCAAGGTCAGGGGCAGGGAGCAGGGGGAAGCACATCAGCCTAACTAGATACTTGTGGACGTGATTATTGGGTGTGCAAAGTGATCAGTTTCTTCTCCTACACATACACTCTGTCTCTCTCGCACACTCTCACACTCACACACAGTCACTTACATTTACACACACACACACACACACACACACACACACACACACACACTCAATCTCATAGTCTAGTTGATCGTCCCTTCCATGCTGCAGAGCCTCAGGGAAGGGAAAGCCCAGCTCTGAGGCAACCATCAGAGACTTTGCACCCTCCCTCGGGTGGAGGATTTTCTCATTATCTCCTTGCTTGCTACTTGTGGGGGAGATGGAATCCTGGCTCTCCAAGCCTTCCAGTGGCTGCTATCTACATCCTGACTTCTTATCAGCCCTTGCTTGTCTTCTACAGGGCCCGTGTCTGGTGGGTGTGAGAGCACAGGCTGAGGCCTCTTGCCTGACGTGGGACCCCTCGGTCTGGCATTTGTCAGTGAGGCAGGCTGGGGGCAGGCCCTAGAGCTTGGCAGGAGGTGCAAACTGGCCTTGGCAGGTAGGGCCCCACACTGGGGACAGTTGGCTCTCTGAGGGAGAGAGGGAAGCATGATCCCTGCCAAATGCCCACCAAGGACAAGGCACATCCCAGGGAGGCAGACACAGACCTGGTGCCCTCTGGACACTGGCATTCCTGGAGGCTGGTGATGGACAGATGGGCCTGGAGGTGTCTCTTCGCTAGCTGGTGTTTCCTTTGGACTTCCTCAGTGTCTTTGGAGAAGGAGAGCCCTCAGAAGAAGCAGCTGCCTATAAAATCTAATTCCAGCCAAGCATCTCAGGAATTCCTGGATGGTCTTCACACCCCTCCCTTTGTGCCCCAGCATGACAGCTGAGACTCGGGGGTCACACTACCCTCCACCTCCTCCACCCCAGCCTTACCCTCCCCTGGTGGCAGAGGCAGAGGTAGAGGGAGGCCCAGGAGGCTTTCTGATCCAGTGGAGATTCAGGGGAGGTGGCCAAAGCTGTGTTCACTGGGGTCTGAACAGTGCTTCATGGGCAGCAAGGGAAGGGAGAAAATTAGGGCAGAGGAAGGGGTGTCTCTGGGATGAAATTAGTGGCAGGCACTTTGCAAGGGTCCTTTAATTCCCCACCTCCCAGGCCCCCCAACCAGGTTCTTGAACCAAGTTCAAACTCCTGGCCCTGAGCTCCATGCCTGCCCCCTCCCCACACACCGGGCTCTCCCACCCTTCACTTCACAGCCTGGCCCACCTGCTCCCCACCTCAGCTGTCCCTTTCCTTGCCCGGAGCTTTTGCACAGTTCTCCCCACCAGCCCCCCACGTTGGAATGCTCTGTGTCCAGGCCCAGGCAAGACAGTGAAGGATGTCTGGCTTTGGAACATCTCCCTCCACAGCTGGACAGACCCCCTCTTTGGCCTGGGCCCCAGGATCACCTGGTCAGGGGGCTTCAAACTGTGCGACACCATCAAATGTCCTCACAGAAGGCCACAGGGCTGCTTTGATAACCCCCTTCCACTAGTGCCATTTTGCTCTTTTTGTTCGTTTGACTTTTAAGTTCAGGGGTATGTGTGCAGGATGTGCGGGTTTGTTACACAGGCAAACGTGTCGTGGAGGTTTGTTGTGTCAATTATTTCATCACTCAGGTAGGACAGACGTACCCATTAGTTCGTTTTCCTGATCCTCTCCCTCCTCCCAGCCTCTACTTTTTGATAGGCAAAATGCCATCTTGCTTTTACTGATTGAGTTTATTTTACTTTCAAGTAAGATTTGGTTGGAACAAAGGATTCAACCAAATAATATCAATTTAATATTATTTTAATTAGTTACTATTAATTAATAATAAACATCAAGGGGAAACCCACTGATTTAACCCCTAATTTTGCAGAGTGGAAAACCAGCCCAGAGAGGGGAAAGACAGACTAGAGCGAACACGGGATTTGCCTGGCCTTGAGGGTCATCCTCTCCCTCTCAGGGCCCCCACTGCCCCACCCTGGGGTGCCAGTTGCATTGCCATCTGTGGATGGCGTTGTGCCATGTGGCAGCACCCGCATTCCAGCATCCATTCTGCTCATTCGCTTTCCAAGCCTTCCTCTCTGAGCCCTTCAGTGACCACCCTTTATTCACAGGATGAAGTCTAAACTCAGCTGGCCTTTCAGGGCCCTCGTGAATGAGCTATACTCTCACTTGCCCATCATATTTCCTTTGGCTCCATTCTCCTCCCCACCCGGGTTGGCAAGCTTTATCTGGAAAGGGCCAGATAGTAAATATTTCAGGCTTTGTAGCTCACAGAAGGTTTCTGCCGCAAATACTTTTAATTTTCCTCTCTTAAAAGCTTACCACTCTTTAAGCAAAAACAGGCTAGGGGCCAGGTTCGGCTGAAGGGCTGTGTTTGCTGCCCCCTGCCCTGCAACCCTGTCCCATCCTGACCTGCTGTAATGCAGTGTGTCTGATTTCTTCCCTTTGTGTGCTGACTGTCTCCCAGGCTGGGCTGCAGATTCCCAAGGCTCAGCTGGGAGGTGGGTGGGGGGCGGGAGAGGGAGGCAGGGGTTTCCACTTTCCCTCATGAAGGACTCTTTTGTGCCACCTAGGTGCTGTTCCACTGCCACCATGCCAGAAGTGTAAGTAGTCTCACCGCCATCTGGGGCCCCAGGAAGGCAAGTCCCTTTGCCACAGACTTCAGCCCCATAGTGGAGGCACCCTGTTTTCAACCCCCACGAAGCTTTTCCCTAAGAGACCAGATCCTGAAACAGAGATGGCATTTGATGGTTCTCCCGTGTTGCATGTGTCCTCCCAGCCACCTAGCAGAACTCACTCCCAGGTTGCCCTGGGAAGGCCTTTTGGCCTGTGCTTCAGAGTTTTCCCGTCTTGATCTGTCACACGAATTGCATGTACCAGGCCACCGCTTAACACTGGTGCAGTAGATAAACGAAGCTTTGGGAATTTACCCACATGCCCATGGATGGATGCTTCCACGTTACTGGAACACTACCCCGAGGCTTCCCTGAGGCTTCCCTCACCTTCAACCACTTCTCCCCAACTTATGACATCCAGTACCTCCCAATAAGAATGCCTGGTAGTTCAAAGGGCTGTTGGGTTTTATTCTGTTCTGCCGGAACCTTGAACCGCTCTCCCTGCCTGATGCCTGATGAGTGTCTGGCTCACTGTCATCACCGGCCCCTTGCCCCACAAGCTGGTCTGTGAGGCTCTGCGGCTGCACGGGTAATCCTCGTTGTTCATACTCACTCTGTGCTCTGCTCTTTCCCTGTCCTTCCTGTGATGGATGCCTGAAGCGAGGTAAGTGATACTTGGGTGTCTCTGTTCTGGTTAAATCTTCTGACTGGTAAAGGTGGGGAGGGGGGTTGGCATCAGAGGAGAGGGGAGAGCTTGCGTTAAGGCCTGGTGTAGGGCATTTAGTGGCTGAATACATTCCCGGGAGATGGAAACCTCAGGCGAAGATTCTGGATGTGGGGCTTGCTAGTGTCGAGTGAGTTGCTGTGCCAGTGTACAGTGTCATCCAGGGACTGGTGCTGCAGCCGGGCTGGGTGTGACTCTGCACCCTTGCTGAGCACAAGCTCTTCCTCATCCACTCTGAGAGGTGGTCCAGTCCTGGGGGGACCATCCTGTTCCTTGCAGAGCTGATCTTGTGCAAAGCTATATTTGAAGGGTAAGGGATAGTCATTGGGTTATTCCACTCTTGCCCAGTGGCTGAACATTGAGTGAGGAGCAAAGAAATGTCCTTAAATCCCCTTCAGGCCTTAGAGAGCCCTGACACTGGCCGTTCTGTGCACTCCAGACTTACCAGGCTGCTGAGATCACAGCCTATGTGCAGTCCAAGGATGGATATGGAAGGGATAGGGATGTGGAATCAGGAATGGCAACAGTGAGAATTAGCACTATTGATGGAGGGGACGTTTGGCACAGAGACTCTCAGTAAGAATTGAACATGTTACTTTTCCGCATTCATATGAATTTCTAAGTTTTGCTGAGGCTTGTATTAAAGTGAGTCCCCACTGACAGATGGTCAGATGATGTGGCCATCAGCTCGCCCAGTGGTGGGGAAAGAAGTCCAGAGTGAAACGTTTACCTTGTGTGCACATTACGGTGCATGAACCATGGGGGCAGTGCTTAGAGTCATAGCCCCTTTCTCCTGAAATGGCATTTATCTGAAATGTGACAAAAATCTTTAGGAGAGGAAAAGACAAACAAAGCACTCTGAACAGCCAGGATGGAAGTTACACATTCCATGTGCTGAAACTCACTTATTGTCTCTCATGAGAACTTCCCTGCCAAAGGGAATCACGTCTACCTTCCACAGTGGAGTGACAGATGAGAGCCATGCTCCCCCAGGTCGCAGCACATTAAGTCTGGGTAGGTTGCTTACTCACCTTAGGCAATGAGAAGTGACTTCCTGTTGCCCAGAAGAGATATTAGTGCTCAAAAGGCATCACAGTCTCATTAGTTGGGGGCGAAGCAGCCCTAACTTACCTTTGCCAGCCCTGAGGGGCCACTGTCACAGGGCTAGGACTGGTAAGCAGGAACCTGTTTAGGGTTTTTGATAATAAAACAGTGCTTTGGTATCTTAGATTTGTATGGGTAGTATTAATATTTTAAAAGGCTTTGAGGTTTACATAGACATATTTCATTTATCTGGGAAATTCACAGCTTGTTTATTCAGTGAGACAGATCATCAAGGTATTGCTGTATTATGACCTGGAGTGTGAAAATGTACATAGCTTGTATGCTTTTCAAAGGATTTGCACATCCATGATCTCATTTCATCTGTAACAACTCTGTGAATTAAGTAAGTAGTAGGTGGCGGGGGGGTTCATCATATCCTTATTTACAGATGAGGAAGGAGGTGCCTCTAGAAGCCATGTGGCCCTCATAGTATCTTACAAGATTTCAGCAGCAGCCGAATCAGTGGGAAGTTAAAGCTTCAGCCCCTAAGTCAGGGTAGCTGACTGCAGCCTTCTCTGAACTGCAGGGGTTAAATTACAAAGATGAGCTTTTAAGGCACCATAGGGTGAGTAGAGAATTCTAGATAAAGATAGAGAACCCTGGCTGGGACTTGTCCTGGCCTAGACCAGAACTCCAGTTCTGCAACCTCTGCCTTACCACCTGTCTCTCTCTCTCTTCTTGCCCACAGAGAAAACCCAAGATCACTGCCTCCCGAAAACTCTTGCTGAAGGTGAGGCTGGGGGCTGGATGCAGGGGGATGCCCAGTGGGAGGCAGAGGGGCAGCAGAGCAGACTCTTAAGGGAGGGTTACAGAAAGGAGAAAGGAAGGAGGCCAGAGCGAGGATGATGAGGGGCACAAAGAGCCCAGCATTGCTGGAGCCAGTGCCAGGCTCAGGCAGTCAGTGGGTGGGATCCTCAAGTATGGATCCTGGCACCCGCCTGGGGTCCCAAGAGGAGGTGGTGATCAGCTTCAGAGTGGGAAGTTACTAGTACAGGCAGAGGGACTTACTTTATTTTTATATGTTTCTCTGTTTCGGGCTTTGTGGGTCAAAACAGACAGTAAGTGGGTAAGAGGAAGGAAGACTGTCAGGGAAAAACAAATTTCAGGGCTGTTGTGAGTGGCCACTTGGCATACCCTCCTGCATGGCCTGCCCATGGCAGCTGCACACACTTCTACACTGGATGGTGGTCTCAGGGCTGGCCCAGCCTGGGGCTGCCTTCCCCTCATTCCCTGATGCCGGGTGGGAGATGCGAGGCCCCCAGTTCAGCAGGTTTGTCCTGTCCAGAGCCTGATGCTGGCCAAGGCCAAGGAATGCTGGGAGCAGGAGCACGAGGAGCGTGAGGCTGAGAAGGTGCGCTACCTGGCAGAGCGCATCCCCACGCTGCAGACCCGTGGCCTGTCCCTCAGTGCCCTGCAGGTGAGCCTGGCATGTGGGGTGGGGCAGGGTGAGGCTGGAGGCGTTGTGTGGGTGGCTTCAGGGACCAGGCAGCAGGAGCCTGAAATAACACCAGCTCAAGGCTCTATAATTTACAGGGCACCCCTCCCTTATATGGTCTCATTTAACCCTCACAACGTGGGGACGTTAGATCCCATTTTACAGGCAGTGAACTGAGCCTCAGCGGGGAGACGTGACTTGCCTGGGCGGGTCGAGCCAGGGATCCAGCTTCGCAATCAGCCAGTGTGGTGGCAGGGAGTGGGGAGGTGGCCGGGGTTTAGAGAAGCCCCCCTTCTCCAAGGACTTGTCTATCCTTTCCTAGAGTTTGGTCTTTAATGTTTTCAGAACACTGGTAAATTGTTTAAATGCCAGTTATTATAGAGAAAAGAGACTGGAAGGAAATATATCAAAACGTTACTGAGTATCTCTGGCTGGTGGCATCACTAGGTATTTTAATAATACATTGTTTCCAAGATGTCTACAATTAACACATTACTTTCATCACAAGAAAACAATTTTGTTTTGCTGGGCACAGTTGCTCATGCCTGTAATCCCAGCACTTTGAGAGGCTGAGGCATGTGGATCACTTGAATGCAGGATACCAGCCTGGGCAACAAGTGACCTTGTCTCTACAAAAATTTTAAAAAATGAGATGGGAGGATCACTTGAGCCCAGGAGCTTGAGGCTGCAATGAGCCGTGATGAAAGAATACTATTTTTTTTTTTTTTGAGACAGAGTCTCACTCTGTTGCCCAGGCTGGAGTGCAGTGGCATGATCTTGGCTCACTGCAACCTCCACTTCCCAGGTTCAAGTGATTCTCCTGTCTCAGCCTCCTGAGTAGCTGGACTATAGGTACATGCCACCATGTCTGGCTAATTTTTGTATTTTAGTAGAGATAGGGTTTCACTATATTGGTCAGGCTTGTTTTGAACTCCTGACCTCAGGTGACCCACCCACCTTGGCCTCCCAAAGTGCTGGGATTACAGGTGTGAGCCACAGTGCCCAGCCAAGAATGCTATTTTTTAAGAAAGCACATACAGGAGCCTCAGAGTGGAGGAGATGGGCAGCTCCTCTCTGAATCCCAGGACTTGCAAAGGCTCTGGGGAGAGGGTCAAGGGCTGGAAGCTGATGGCTTTGTTCCCATCTTCTTCACGCCTGCCTGATCCATCTGCCTCCTGCAGGACTTGTGCCGGGAGCTGCACGCCAAGGTGGAGGTGGTGGATGAGGAGCGATACGACATCGAGGCCAAATGCCTCCATAACACCAGGGAGGTGAGTCTGAGGAAGGGAAGGGGCACAGCCAGGGTGGGCTGGGCGGGGGGGGGCGGGGTTGGGCATGGATGCAGCAGCCATGGGATGTCCCCTTCTTCCGCAGGGCCTGGGAGGGGGCCACTTATCAGGAAGCTTGCACACACTTCTCTACACACATTTGGCTTCTCCACACTAGCCCTATAGGGCTGGAGATAGGCAGAGTGGAAAATCACACGTGAAAAGTACAAACTTCCCCCATACCTGCCATGTGGGCTCATCAGCCTAACAGAAGCACTCTCTTTATCCACCCACACAAATAATCATATACCTGTTAATAAGGTCTTACCTTTGTGAAGTGCTTTCATTGCATTACGGCCTTTGATCCTCCCTACACGCCTGTGGATGAAGTAGGGGCTATTATCTGCACCTTGCAGAGGAGGACACCGAGGTTCAGAAAGGCCAAGGACTTGTCCTGGGTCACACAGTGGCGGTCCTGGGACCAGTGCTGGTCTCTGGTTCCCACTTCGGTGCTCTGTGCTCCCTTAGCATGGGGTGTGGGAGGATTAGCTCCGTCCAGAGCCCGCTTCAGTGGGGCAAGGCAGAGCGGGGAAGGACAGGGCTCCTTTGGGGCATCTGAGGAAGGGTTGGGGAGGTACCACAATCCACTTCCCTCCTTCCCCCTTCTACCCACCAGGAATGATGATATGTGGGGTCACCAAGCTCCTAAGATTTCCCTCTAGACATCACACCCTGGAAATTCCTCCGGGAGTCCAGGACCTGGACGTTTATCACCCTGCTGGACCAGGGCTGTGAGCCGCTTTGAAGGCTCACTGGGGAGGATAAGTTAGAAGCAGGCATGAGGCTGCAGGAACAAGAGGAAGCAGGCCTGCACTCCACACAGGGCTTCCAAACCACGCAGGTCTCAGTCTGGTGGGGCTGCCCCTTTTATTCAAGGGTACAGGGTTAGCAACAGCTAATAGGCTTTATCTGTCCACGTATCCATCTGTTTATCAGCAAATGTGCAGTGGCTATTTGCAAAGGGATGGGTGGGTCTGAGTGTCTTAGAGCAGGGATCCCTCACCCTCGGGCTGGGGACCAGCACCTGTCCGTGGCCTGCTAGGAACTGGGCCACACAGCAGGAGGTGAGTATTCCGACCTGAGCTCTGCTTCCTATCAGATCGGCAGTGGCATTAGATTCTGGTAGGAGTGAGAATGCTATTGTGAACTGTGCATGTGAGGGATCTAGGTTGCATGCTCCTCATGAGAATCTAACTCATGCTCGAGGTGGAGCAGTTCCATCCTGAAACCACCCACCACTTCGCTGTGGAAAAAGCATCTTCCACAAAACCAGTCCCTGGTGACAAAAAGGCTGGTGACTGCTGAGAGGTCTGGCTCCAGGGGTGGACAATTTAAGGTGTGTCTCTGGCTGGAACCCTAGCAGTCTGAGGTCCTCAGGAAGGGTGCCCTGTGGCTAGCTCCCTCTCCAGTGAGACCCAGGCCTTTCTCACCTGCAGATTAAGGACCTGAAGCTGAAGGTGCTGGACCTCCGCGGGAAGTTCAAGCGCCCGCCCCTGCGTCGGGTCCGCGTCTCGGCTGACGCCATGCTCCGGGCCCTGCTGGGCTCCAAGCACAAGGTGTCCATGGATCTGCGGGCCAACCTCAAGTCTGTGAAGAAGGAAGACACAGAGAAGGTGAGGCCCCTTTCCCCAGAACCTTCCACACCCCACCTTGCCAGTTTTCCCCTTGTCAGACCCTCACCCAGCCTCAGCCAGGCCCAGGAGCTCCTGCTAGAGGCCAGTCAGCTTGACAGAACATTCTAGAACCCTTTGGGAGACCAGTGTAGGAAGAAAAAAGAAAGACTTGCTCCCTTCCTTCAGGCTGCCCCCAGTCTGATGAAGAAATGGGACACCAAGAAAGCTAGACCCCAGACAGAGAAATGAAGTAAAAACCTTGTCCAATGTGAAGAGAACGTGGAGATTTAGGGTAATGGTGGAGACAACTCCCAGGTCACCACAGGGAAGGGAGACAGCAGCTTATACACAAGCACAGATATTAGAGTACTGAGCTCAACCACCCAGCAGCAAATTACTCAGTTTGGTTGAACTCACGGTATATGTGCTCCAAACTGATAGGCTCTGTAAGAAACAGGGATGACAGGAACACAGTCTCCAAGAAGCTTCAGAGGAGAAGACGTGAGCCGGGCAGTGTACTGAGGGAGTGGGAAGGCCGCCACCTTAGCAGGGAAGGCTTCTCGGAAGAGGTTGCCTTGAGCCTGCAGAGACTGCCAGACCAGGAGGGTGGCGTGGGGCCTTGGAGGAGTTTTCCCTGAGGTGCACCGAGGTGGGAACTGGCCCCGTAGCTGCCACTATCACCCAGTGCTCCCAAGCCACACAGCTGCCCTTTTCCTGTGGGGCCTCAGCTTGGCCCACATCCACCTGCCTGGCAGAGTCCTAGGACCTTACCAGCTGGGGAGGGGTGTCAGGATTTCTTATCATCCGAGGAGAGTGGTTTTCTATGACCCAGCTTCTCTTGAGCTGTGGGGCTGTCCAGCCTGGTAAGTCCCTGCTGTGTCATCCACAGGAGCGGCCTGTGGAGGTGGGTGACTGGAGGAAGAATGTGGAGGCCATGTCTGGGATGGAAGGCCGGAAGAAGATGTTTGATGCTGCCAAGTCTCCAACCTCACAATAGAGGTACCTAGAGACCAGCTCCCTTCTCTGGGGTCCAGCAGAGTCTAGAGGATAATGTCGGAGTCCGCAGTCAGCAGGCGGGTTGTACCCAGTGTGGTGCAGGGGGGAAGGCACCGATGAGACTGATGAGGGCCAGCTAGCTGGGCTCAGTCCTGGCTCCAGCACCGTGATACCTTGGGCATGTCATTTCTGTTTGGGGGTGCTATTTGTTCCCCACGTCTATGAAATTGGGGGCAGTATCAAATCAGTGGTTCTCCAAGTGTGGTCCTGGGACCAGCAGCATCTTTACCACCTGGGATGCAAATGATCAGCCCCCACCCCAGATCCACTAAATTGGAAACTCTGGGGTGAGGCCAGCCTTCTAGGTGATTGTGATGCACACGAGAGTTTGAGAACCACTAGATTAGAGGATCCTTGGGGTCCCTCCTTCTCTGACTTTCTGAAAATCTATGCTCTTTTAAACATCTCCTGGCGATGTCCTTTATTTGTGCTCCCTGCAAAGTACCCAGCAGTCACAGTACCTGTTCCCAAGGAGCTACCACTCAGAGAAGCTAAGGCTTCTCACCCCCTGAGGAAATAGCTGGGAAAACTGAGCAAAGCAAGGAAATTAGGCCACATGAAGCCCTCTATGGAAGTGCTGAGACAACGTGCAATAGGGCAGGCATCCACCAGATAGCATTGGTCAGAGCAGGCGCTCTGGAGAGGAGGAGTCTCTGAGGACGTGATGGGTTAACTGGTAAGGGGAAGGGCACGTCCAAGGGCTGATGGTGCCACAGAAGCATGGAGTTGGGAATTAAGCAGCCACGGCGTAGCATGGTAAGGCCAGGTAAAAGCTGAGGCCACAGTGTGGAGGAGCGGTGTGAGGGGTCCTAAAAGGTGGAGAACTGTGCCCACGGACTGTGCCCACGGACTGAGAAGCTGAGGTTTTGTAGGAGCTCCTACAAATGAAGATCTGGCCAGGGGTGTGCTAGGTGTGAGAAGCCCTGGGACTGCATGTGCTATAGGTAAGTCAGGGATTCATGCGCTGCACACAGGTCTGCAGGAACTGATGGCTTCGCCTCTCTGTCCCTACAGGCCAGCTTGCTGTGCTGCGCTCTGGGCTCCTGCTTCATGCTTCTTCTCCAACCCAGCTCACTCACCTCTCTGCCCGTGTCCAGAGCATCCTGCCCCACCCCCACTTCTTCCCTCCAGCCTGCATGCCCTCCTCTGGAACTGGGAATTCACAGATACCCAAGAGGCAGGACAAACACGAGTGTCTGAAGACCTCACCCCAGCAGAGTGGGCTTCCATCCACCCATGAGGCACCTGGGGTTTCCTGGCCACCCCATGGTGTCACAAGTGGAGGAAGAGGCGGGAGTGAGAGCAGCTTTCCTCCAGCCCCGTGCCACACCCCTTCTATGACGTGTACAGTGTCCACAGGCATCTCAGCCTCTTCATTAAAAACCCAGTTTCCTGGTCATTTCTGCAGCTCTGACTGAGAGCACTGAGAAGAAAGGGAAGGTGTGGGGCTTGTGAAGAGAGGGCTGCGCTGGGCTCCAGTCACTCTGTCTGCATCTGGAGCTCGGGATCTGAAGGGAGGGCTAAGGAATTGGTGGCTGCTTGCCAGGGTGCCCGGATCCCCTTCTGCCCAGTCCCTGTGACATTACACAGCACACATTCACCACCCAGGGTGCTCAGCTCACCAGAGCCCTGACCTCCGAGAACTGACCCAGTCCTGCCCCTGATTCTGGCCGTCAGGAGAGGCCTGTCTATTCAGAGCTGCTTCTCCTGCCGGGTTTCATGCTCTCCTTCCTCCGCAAACCTGGATTATCTCTCCCCGATGCCTGCTGGCTGTACCTGAAAGTGTTCTGGTCAGAGCACTTTCAATCCCTCACCTGGCCCTGTGGCACAGGGCGGGAGGCCCTGCAGAAGGGATACTTGCAGTTCCAGACATGGCCACCAGGTGACTCCTTCCCTCTGTCCTGGGCTCTCCTGTCCATCCCAACTCCGCTCTTCCTACCCTCACTCACCCTCCTCCCAATTATTTCCCCTTCACACTCCTGCACTGGTCCTATCCCCCAGGACTGATTCTTTCCCAGAGGTGGGGCAGCCACTAGTCTGTCCTCTGGGTTAGGTCCTTTCTCCATCCCACTAACTTCTGGGTCCAAAGCCTGGTGAGGGCATAGGCCTGCTGGGGTGGAGTGGCGGTCTGGGGCAGCCCCTCTTCCACCAACATACTCATGAGAGTGGCTCCTGTGAAGCGGAGGCCAAAGTTATGACTTCTTTTCTTTTTTCTTTCTTTTTGAGACAGAGTCTTTCTTGCTCTGTTACCCAGGCTGGAGTACAGTGGCACAATCTCAGCTCACCACAACTTCCATTTCCTGAGTTCAAGTGATTCTCCTGCCTCAGCCTCCTGAGTAGCTGGGATTACAGGTGCACGCCACCACACCCGGCTAATTTTTGTATTTTTAGTAGAGACGGGGTTTCACTGTGTTGGTCAGGCTGGTCTTGAACTCCTGACCTCATGATCCACCCGCCTCGGCCTCCCAAAGTGCTGGGATTACAGGTGCGAGCCACCGCTCCTGGCAAATTCTGACTTTTCAGGGCAGTGGGATGGTGACTTTTGAACTAAGCCTACAAGGGAAGTGACTGGTGTCAGACCTGGGGTCCCTTGGCTTTATGACCACCCCAGCACCGGCCCTAGTAGGGGCTGAGTTATCTGAGCAGCAACCCTTCCACCCACCGCACTGAGTCATTCTGCCCTTGAATCCCATGTGTTATCTGCCATAAATGCCAGAAACTGGTACAAAGTGCAGTGCCAGCTACTCCCTGGGGCATGGTCTGGTTTCCTGGGTTGCTGGGCTACCAGGCCCTTTCAGAGAGCATGGCAGTGGGAACCAGCAACTTGGGCTACACTGGGGGAAGCAGCACTCTTGCTATTAATAGGTCAGTAGGCAGAGAGGCAGACGTGTGCAAAAAGCACAACCCCACCACACACACAAACCGGTAGGCACGGACACGCCCAGTCTCAATGCACAAAGTTGGAGAACCTGACAGGGCTGGTCCAGGCCACAGAGGATGGGGTTAGGCTTCATGCCTTCATGCCCAGGCAGCCACAGAAACCCACCCTTCCCCGCCTCACAGGGCTCCTCCGGTTGGCCTGGGTCCAAAGCGGTCTCCTTGTTTCACCTCTTTCCAGCCCTTCCCTAGAGCCTGGCCCCAAGTTCCAGAGTCAAATCCCAGCTCTGCAGTCAACTATTAACCTGGGGCCCTGGCAGATTGGGGTATCCACCCTGCCATGTAAAGGCAGGAGACCTGCTCTGGGCCTGACTCAAAGCAAACATGTGGGTGTAGAGGGCCCATGGGAGGCAGGGCCCACTCAACACGCCTAAGCCTATGGCCCTCTAGAAGGGGCAGAAGAGCCAACCAGAGGCTTCCTGAAGGTCATGAGGTTCCTCCTTCTGCTTCCAGGCAGGACCAGACCTAATTTATCTCCTGTCAGGATGGAGCAAGAGCAAATATAGGCATAGACACATTCAGAGCACAAGGATTGAGAGAGCCTGTGGACAAGGGGGAAGGAGGCCTGGGGGCGGGAGAAGGATCTATGGAAGGGGCTGTTGGAGCCAAGAATGGCGCCTAGGGGTGAGAGTCCTGGCCTCTGGAGAGCCCTGGTTCCACGTAGTCCTCTCTCACCATGGAGGGCCAACAGCACCCAGCCTGGACTCAAGGCCAGCAGAGCTGGGAGGGGGGCCTGCCAGTGACTGACAGCTCACACAGATAGCACACTTCTGTGTCAGGCACCAGCGTGCACACCTCAGTTCATTTAACCTTCACAACAACCCCAGGAGACAGTACGGCTGCTATTCTCATGGTACAACACGGGAAACCAAGGCACAGAGAGGTTAGGGACTTTTCATGATCACACAGCTAGTAAGTGGTGGGATCAGGATTCAACCCAAGAAGCCTGTTAGTATCTGTACTCTTATCAACTATTTGAATGATAGCATTTCAGTGATAGTGATGTGTGATGCTAAGTGCTTTATCTGAATTATATCATTGCATTCTCACAAAAATGGTACATTTGTTAGCTTAAATTTACAGATGAGGAAATGGAGGCCTGGAGAGTTCAAGCAGCTCACTCTAAGTTACAGGGTTTGCTAGTTGCAGACTGGAGACTGGATCCCCGGTCACTCTGCCTTGGGGTTGCCCTTTTCTGAAATCAGACTGGCCTTCACAGAACCCAACCAGCCACTTTCTTGGAGGGACAGAGCTGGGGGTCAAGGGCCCTGCGTATGCATCCAGGGAGTCCCCACATCCCCACCAAAGGGGAAACATTCAAAGGAGATGCAAGGGACATCCAAATGGACTAAGGGAGGCCTTCTGCAAACACGTGGATGCAGAAGGCCCGTGGGAGGTGGGGTCCACTCAGCACACCTAAGCCTGTGGGGCCTAAGGCTGAGGGTAGAGGGATGGGGTGCTACTTGGGCGATATCTGTTCTAATCAGCACACAATAGCTGGGTGGACACCCCCTCTCTCTGCAGCTGGTGGAGATGGGCCTGGTGCTCCTCTCTGCTTGGTAGGAATGACCAGGGCAGGACGCCACCTGCTAGACCCTTGCCTGTTCCAAAGCCCTTGGGAGACCAGCTGTTGCTCCCACCTTTCCCCACAAGGTGCACAGTCCCCGTGGGGCAAGGAGACCAAGCCCAGCTGTGTGTCTGGAGCCCACTCGGCAGCAGGCATGATCAGGGCAGGGCCAGTGCTCATGGCTGCTGGGGCTAAAGTGCCCTACCGAAGGAAGGGCAGAGTTAAACATTAGCCACAATGGCCCCCCACGAAGTGAGTCACACTCCCCACAAGGCTCTGGGCTGGGCAGCAGAGGGAGGGAGGCAGATTCGTTCCAGGTGGGTGACCAAGCTGCGGAAGCCCGGGACAGTTAGCTGAGACTAGTGCAAATGGCAGCCTCTTCTCCTGACCCCCATCATGTCTCTTCCCTCAGGCATCCCCAAAGCTTGTCTGCCTCCAGGTCCTTCATTAAAGGTGAGGGGCAAGGATGTTCTCTCCCTCCCAAGACACACTCCTAGGCTGGCCTGTGCGTCCCCTGAGGCCAAGGCTGAGCAGCGTGAGCCTCAAAAACCCCGTAGCACTGGCCTAGAGCACTGTGGTCGATGTTCGAAGGCCCAGAGAGGGAGAGTGACTTGCTCAAGGTCACAGACCTAACTGGAGCTAGGAAGTAGGTCCCCAGACTCCCAGTCTGAGAAAACCGTATGTGGACAGGGCTCTGCTCTCCCTGCCAAGGGCAAAGGCCCAGGGACCCGAGCCGGCTGCACATCTCTGGCCTCAACCCAGCACCCCAAATGGCTCCAGTGCCAACCACTGCCCTCTCTCACTGGTTGGCACAGGCTGGGTGAGCCTGGCTCTTTTCCCTGGGTTCAAAAGAGAGGTATAGCCTTGCCTGGCAATCAGGGGAAGTGGTGTGTGTATGTGTGTGTGTGTGGCCATGCAGAATGCAGGGTGATGACCTGCCTGCCAGCCCTGAGTGTCACTGACACCTGTGTGTCCCCTGTACTACTGCCTCCCAGATACTGCTCCACCTGACAATGAGGAAATCAGGGCCACAAATGTAGTGAGATTTTCATAACACTAAATGTGTTCAGTGGAAATGGCTGTCTGATCTGAAAGCACGGATGCCCTTATTTTATTACTGGAGTAGTAAATGAGCCCTTACTCATGGAATAGGACAACAGTAGGTGGCAATTGTTTTCTAATGCTGTTACTTCACAAAATAAAATGGTGGCAGCACAATGTCAGTATTTATATTAAACAATATTAATAGTTTATAAAAACCAAAAGCCAGGGAGCTTACTGCCCTGGCTTCTCCAGGGTGTGGGTCTTATCACTTCATTCATTTCCTCCCCTCCCCCAAGAGTGCCACAAGCATGGCAGTTGCTCAGCTGAGACACACAAATGGGAACAGAACCCGAAATGTCAGGATGTAACCTCAAGCCAGCTAGTTGGGGCTGGGGATACCCCTGGGTCTCCACTCTGTCCTCTCTGAAAAAGGAGAAGCTGCCTTATGAGTGTTTTGTCTGGGAGATTCCAGAGCTTGAACATCTGTTCTGAGGCTCCTCAGAGCCTCAAGGGAGGAGAAGAGAAAGATAACTCCTTCCTCAACCACTGGCTGAAAAATCTTGAAATTCCCTGATTTTGACCAGGGGCTTCCCAGTAGTGCTAAGCCCTGCCTGGTGGGATCTCCCTGGAGGAAGTAAGCAGCACACGTGTACATTTTTAATGTACATATAAAGAATCATAAAGTGGACACCCCTCTGCCAACCACTCATTTTAAGAACGAGGATATTTTGAAGCCCTCACGCGCCCCTCCCCAATCACAACCCCTTCCTCTCCACAAAGGTAAATACAATCCTCAATTTTGTGTTTGCAATCCTCTTGGTTCTCTTTATAATGTTACTGCCTATTTATGA